TACTCCCCTAACACATACCAACACATTCCAGCCAAACTGAACTACTCATCCCATGTTTTCCACCTCTGTGCAGTACTCAATCATCATTTCCTTACCCACTTTAATTCAAAATCCTACTCAACCTTAAGTGGTAACTCTTCACTAAGGGAGGGTTACTAACTTTTTGAATACAGCAACTCTCAAAGACCATGTACTAGATTATGGCCAGGTCATGATCTCTGTCAGTGCAGGGAATGACTGAAAAAGCATTTATTATGTACTTACTATATGCTTAGTACTGAAGATCCAAATAGAAAACGAAGGCAGCCGCTCCTCTCAAGGAGCTCTACTCTAACTGGAGGAGACAACAAAAATAATTTGGTTCAACTGTAGAACTAATGGAAAGCCCTAGAAGTCTTAAGAGTGCAGTGGCAGGGAAAGCGGCAGTGCCCAAGGATCTGGAAGGGACAGCAACAGAGAAGAGAGTAGGACCCAGATAACCTTAGCACAAGATGGCATGGCAGATGATAAGGCCTGCTGTTCCTGATTGTGGTTGATTAGCCCCTACTCATCAAAGCAGTGTAAGTGAAGGGAATGAGGAGAATGAGGAAGGAGAAAACAGCACTGGCGGGTAGGTTGGGGGAGAAGGGTACCCCCTCAGTACTTGCTTTGCTAGGTCCCTTTCCCCCAGGTTGCTCCCACCAGTGGCAATGGTGGAAATTACAGATCCCTAAAGTATGTCCTCTCCCCCTTACCAGACCGAACACTTCCTGAGGGAAGGGATTTTCTCATTGAACGTTGTGTAATGGGGGTCTGGTACTGTACAGAGTGCCTTAGATGACATCTTTCCCGTTTCCAGAAGAGTCAGGATAATGAGGAGTGGTAGTACCTTGGAGAGACTGTGGGGCAGGTGCAGACATTCTGTAATTGGTTCTGGTCTGCTAATCACGTGGTGAATGAGAGGCTCTTTGACTTTGGTGGCACTCATAGAGACTTTGTGAGTTCCCACCATGTGAATTTTAAAGGGTCAAGAGAGCAAGCCACAGGAATCTGGGAGTCAGAGTTCAGGCTGGTTTTGTAGACAACCCAGAAATGAAGCCCCCAAGAACCTTCCAGAACAATCTCCTTGACCCATACCAGCAGAAGCCAGGATGAGGACTCAGCCAGCATGTGGAGAACTTGGAAGGACCAAGGCTATGCAAGAATGGAGCTAAGTCTAGCCTACTCCTCCCAGAAACAGAGGTGGACAGATGGAGAGTATACACCCAATGATGTGACTACAACATTTCGGGCAGAAGTGTCTGCTCTTACCATTCTTACTATATCTTTGAAGTAAACATCCTTTTGTAAAAACTAATTGATCCCTCCAAAATGATGGGGATTTAAAACCCCCCAAAAATATTCATAAAAGTAAGATTTGAAAGAAACAAGTTCCAGTGCCATCCATACTTTGGGATTCTGCTTCTTCCAAGAGGAATCTTTAGTCTGATTGGAAATTGACAAGTATGTATATACAAAACTTATTTCAGTCAAACCTTCTGAACCAGGGCTTCTTCAGAAACATTTTGTGTTCAATAGGCCTCTTTGGCAATCTGGTGAAAACTCTGAACCCCTTCTCAAAATCATGTTTTTCAATGCATAAAACAAAACATGTAAGATTATAAAGGAAACCAATTATTGAGATAGATATCAAACTTCTATTTTTTGAAAGTCCAAAGACTCCCAGTTAAAATCCCTTGCTCTAAACTTAGAGGACACTAGTTGTTGGGCAGGTAAAGAGTTAATCACTGAGGCGGGACAGTGTGCCCCAGCTCCGGTCTGTGTGGGCAAAGTTATAAAAGGTAGTAGAGGTTAGACAGGAATCTGAGCAAGGATCTAAACAGCTCCTGCCCACCACTTCTCTTTTCTCTCCTCAGTGCTCTAAATACCACACAAATCATGACCAGCACTGAAAACCTGTTTTGCAAATACCAAGTGATGACAAGTGGTGCCCTTATGAAAATTTCTTTCAGGATCATAGGTTTAAAATCGGAAGGAATCTCACATATCATCTAGAACAACCCCCTCATTTTACAGATGAAGAAACTGAGGCCCAGAGAGGTTAAGTGATTTGTCTAAAGTCACAAAGGTCTATAAATGACAGAGTGAGAATCTGAACCCAGGTTGAGTCCAAATCCAATGATTTTTCCTCTATACCATGCTGCCTAAAGCCCAATATTTCTAGCTACATTGTTGCTGCTATTTCCTTTCTGAATGCCACAGGAAGAAAGTCTCCAAGTGTCTAGAGTGTTTTTTGATTCAAAATGGACATTCCTTGTTCCATAAATTAAATGTTTTTTATAAATATCTTCCTCCTTTTCCTTTTCCAAATGATGACATAGTCTCAGATTCCTGGGCTACCAGAATTAATTTGATTCCTCTTGGTTGAGGTTACACAGTTCCTGAAAAAGCCCTTCTTTTTACATATGTTCCTGCGAGGTGGGACAGGTTCAACAGTCTAAATCAACCTACAGGACTGTAAACAAAATCCAGAAAGATTATAGATTGAAGTTTTTGCACTAAAACCATTCTGCTCCAACCTTCTGTGGGCACTGTTTATTTATGACCATTTTGTACTTTAGGTGGGGAAGGAAGGGGAACTGAATGCAATTGTCTTGCTTGTAGGCAGCAAGGGCAAAATCACTATGGTGAAAGGAAATGGTTCATAGCAGCATTCGTCATGGCCAGACTCATCTCTCAACCCCCTCTCTCCAACACACACACACACACACACACACACACACACACACACACACACACA